TGGTGACTAAGTCGTGTGCGAGACAACCTCCCAGCCCAGGCTTAAAATCATTTTCTGAGTCGCGCGAGCAACATGAAGTCGAGCGTCATCATGGAGCAACATGACTTTCCGGCTCCCTTGGCCAGTAAATGGCCTCTTTTCATCAAGTACCTCGCTCAATTTGTTCAATTGTCGACTGTAGCGTTCTGCAGTAACTGTCTGATCCGATTCTACAAGTTCGTAATAGAGTACACCCTTCAGATCCCACCAGATGCAGAGGAGAACTTTCTTCGTGTGAATTTTTTGTTGGGGAGTGGATGTCAAAGGTTGTGCGGCATTCACCCATGACTTTTTCCACTTGAGATTAGCAAAAAAAATATATTTTTCATCTCCTGTTACAATTTTTGACAAAAAATTTTTCTTCTGGCACTTGGCGAGCAACGAAAGGCACGTTTTCATGCGTTGGCCGCGGTTATGTTCAGTCAGTTGGTGGGGAACCCATCTTCCTACCTTTTGTATTTTTCCCATTGCGTGTAATCGTTTAGAGACTGCTGCTCGAGTAAATTCTAGCTGAGTTGCAAGCTCTTTTTGCGTTTGCGTTGAATCTTTGTCGAGTAATTCTTGCAATTCAGCATCTTCAAATTTCAGAGGCTGTCCAGGGCGTTCCCGGTTACTGAGATCGAAATCACTATCTTTGAAGCATTTATACCAATATCTACATGGATAGTAAGACACAATATTACTTCCGAGAGTGGAACTAATCGAATCTTGGGCTTCAATGGCTTTTTGCTTCCGAATGGAAGCTTTGTAATCGATCATTTTTACGATCTTCTAATTTTGCCTGGAAATGATGTATAATGTTATGAAACGCGAAAATATGATGTTTTTAAGAAATGTGTGTGTATGTCCGTATGTATGTGCGGATTTTTCGGATTTTGTCTTTAATTTCAACAAAAAAAGGAGTAAAGTTGAAGCTAAAAATTTGGAATTTTGTGAGATAATTGGCATTATTCGGGAGCAAATCCAGGCGTAATTTCAGCTCGATCGGTCAAGTAATTTTTGAGATACAGCAGATTTCAAAAAAAAAAATTCTCCTCAATATCTAAAAAACTACGCGACTAAATTAAATTTGATTATTTCTATCAAATCAAATCATAACATCTCAACTTAACTACGGACAACTAGGTAGTAATTGGTGTTTTCCAATTTTTTGTATATTTTTGATAAAATCTTTGTAGTCACGATAACTCTAGAAAAATTTGAGATAGGAAGCTGAAATTTGGTGTGATTGTAGGTATTATCATACTAAAGAATGGTATTTTGGCTGGGCCGAATCGGATGAGTAGTTTAGGGGATACTCAATTTTTTCAATTTTTTTTTGAAAAACCATTTTCCGCAATATCTCTTCAATGGCTGGTTGGATTTCAACTTTTTTAACAAAATACTTATCCCAATATCCTCCATCAAAATCAATCAAAATATTAATCGCCTCCCACACAAAGTTTTCGAGATATGAGCGTTTTTCTTTTTTTTCATATTTTTTCATATGAAAGGTTATTGTGACATAGCATATGACGCGTAGATGTTGGAATAAAAATCTGAAGTTCGGGTACTTGATAGTATTATTGAGCCGTACTTGTGTATAAAATGTGGGGCTGAATGTGTCGATACTTTTTGGCATAGGCCAATATGAAATGTTAAACAATGAATTATATGACTTACAGACGAAAAAGCAAAAGAGGCGTACATAGGCGACGAATACTGCGGATAATTCTGAGGACAAAATACTACTAATTCACGAGGAAAACAAAAAAAGGAAATATAAGGAAAAGAAGGAAGAAGAAACAATTGAGGAATTTACAAAGAAAATGTGGGGTAAAAATTTTAAGGTACAAGTAACTAATAGATCATGGCTGGATTATACTGAATATGAATACAGAGTAAATCGTGAATGGGAAGTATTTAATTCCTTCTTTAATACCAAAACATAATACCTCAGAAAGAAAAAACGTATTGAGGATGAAGATAGAAATCGCGTTGTGCAAATAAGATATAACAAGATGTGAAATTTTCAGAATTATAAAAAAAAGGTGAATTGAAAAAACCATATCATCGATTAAAACAGAAAAGAAATCGCGTGGAATTATTCAATTCCGGATCCATTGGGAATCTTACTACCAATGTAATTGGTAGAAATGAAAATAAAAAATATATGAATATATCCCTTCTGTCATATGCCTTCTGTCGCATAGCCTCTGCCAGACTGCTTGTTTTACTTGTTGGAACTCGTAGAGAATACAGTGCCGAATGTGCTGCGCATCGGCCGCCATTGTATATACTACTGTTTTCTGAAGTTACGCAGCTCTTCCAGGCATGACATATAGCATATTAAAAACAGTTTCACTCTTCAAAATCACGAACGGACGCGTAAATATTTATATTTTAATATTTAAGACACTGCATTCAATGAAAAAAAACGGAAAGATTAAGTTATACACCTAATATTCTGTCTCTTAAACTTTCATTCTTACATTTTGACCCTTATATTCGGATATTTTGATCTTTAAATTTTGCCCTTGTGTTCTAATCGTTATATTCTGACCCTTGTTTTTAAACCTTTATATTTTGATTTTTCCACTTTGGCCCTTATATACTTTGTTGAAATTGTATGTGATCCATTATGCGACGAACCAATCACTTCCCGACTGATACCCTTTTTCTATTCACTCGAACATTGAGAATGTATTTACATTAGTCGCTGTAATTGTTTTAGAGAAAATCAGCGAAAAAATCATCGATTTTAGAAAAAAATCAAAGCCGGGGAAATGACGGTCAAAATATGTCCGACACAAGGGTTAGAAATAAGCCTCAGAGGTCGGGGTCAAAATATGAGTGTCAAAGTATGACGGTTAGAATTTAAGAGTCAAAATGTAAGGGTTACAATGTAGGAGGTCAGAACATAAAGGTCTGAATATAAGGGTCAACCTCTAAAGGTCGAAATATAAGGTCACAAGGGTCAAAATATAAGGGTCCAAGTATGAGCATAGAAATATATTGTCAAAAGTGAGGGTTAAAATATAAGGGTCAAAATACAAGGATCAGAATATAAAGGTCAGAATTTAATGGTCTAAATATAAGGATCATAATTGAGCTTCAGAAAAAAGGATCAGAATTAGAGTGAAAGGTAAGCATTAAAAATAATGTGCAAAAATTAGGGTTAGAGTTGAAAGTTAAAATGAGTCAGAAAAACTTGGGTCAAAAATAAGTGATTTAGGGCTCCCTAACATGCGGCCATTAAAATTTGTTTTATGAAATGCATGAGTAAATTAGTGGTTTATTGAACTGGTAACTCAATAAACCATCAACTTAGGGATTGAGCAAATTTTCGATTTTCTCTTTGAGACATCTCATATTATATGATGGATGCTCACATAGATCTACGGGTGTCCCCAAACGGCACCTTTCCCTCCGAAGGCATGTTAATTTAGATACTGAATTTCGTTGAGATAATAAACTTAAATTCATCAGTGCATGGTCAGGCCTAATTATCAAGCCGTACCAGCACTTAGCATGACCCAGGGTTTCGCGACGGGGACGCGGCTGGTATGAACCCCACAATGCCCCACTAAAATGAATGGTTTTTTTTTCCTGGCCTCGCCTTCGGCTCGCGCGGGTAAAGTTCATTTCGTCAACGAGTCTTTTTACGGCGCTTGACCTGCAATATATTATTCTAGAATAGCATTTGTCTTCTACAAATAATTTCAGTATCGACTCATTCCTCACTAATACCCATAAATCATTGACGATTTAAATATACATGAACTGTTTCTCTAGCAAATTCACAACCCACACATAAGAATTTAAGAAATAATTAACGTTGAATAAAATTCGTTCAAAAAATTGTTCAAATGTTCTCTTTCTGTAGACTTGATTCTGATAATGTTAATACGACATAACACCCAACACTCGTCTGAAATTCCAAAGAATCAATGTGAAGCCGTCGGGCCAATGCAGTCAGTAATTATGGATCCTTGGTAATCCCGTCAAATGATCCTCCTTCCGTATTTCTCTCAAATCCCAGAATTTGTCCCGTGAAGTCCCGGATTCCGTTGAATCAGCCAACCTCAACGAAATATCAGCACGTGGTCTTGTTAATTCGACCAGTCCGGTATTGGTGTGAAAATGTGTGTTAACTCGACGGTAGTCGGCGAGAGAACAGATCAAGTGTCTCAAGTGAATCTTCCTCGTAGGACAAAATTGAGTGTTACGCACTCTTCCTTTGAATATTTGATTTATCTTTATTTTTCGGTCGATAATTTTATTTCCCCTTTTACTCTAATTCATTCTAAATCCTCCACGATCTTAAAGTTGCGATCTTCAAATTTGAGATCTGCACGAGGTGTTATTCCTATGATCAGACTCGTGAACGATCTTCAATTACATAAGGTCTCATATTAAGATCGGATATTGATCTGATGTTAAGACTGTTTACCAGACTTACGGTTTTAAATCTTAGTTTCAGACCGCTCGTAAAACCGGAGTTTTTGCAGTGATGTCATTTGATTTTTATTAGATGCTGAGTAAAATCTTCTTAACAGATTTCTCGTTATCTGGATGGAAATTTCCAAATTTTTTCTTTCACAACCGGCCAAAAACTAATGAAGGTTCTATAGAAATCCACTAGTTTTTGTTTGGCACGACATGATCCCTTTCCCCTTTTCTCAGTTTTTGGGTGTTTTCTCTCCCAGATGATCAGAATATATGTTCAACAAAATGTGTGTCCTTATAGTAATCCTTCGGGTTAAATCTATATATGTTCTCAAAATAATCTTCATATCGAAAATCGCGTAGTTTATGTATGGAATATATCTCATAATAGTCGTGCAATGGGCACTTATATAAGTCCTCATACTCAACATTAAAGATAAATGCTTTAAGTATATCTTGTATGGGATTTTATTTCAAAAAATGTTGAAAAACGAGAAATGATTGTGGATATTAATTTTTTTACATATTTTCAGATGGTACGGACTCGGCGTTGTATTTCCTCATCTTCTTGCTATTCCACAAAACATCCCGGGTGGTGCTTGGTTGAGCAGTGGTACCTCAATATATATTGCGAAACTGCTTAGACTCCGAGCGAGTTTTGTGACCTATCAATATAGTACGATCACAGAGTATTACTACAGTGGAGCTCCAATTTTGGCGCCCACGCACTTCCATTATCCTGAAGATGTCTACGTCAAATACATGGCAAATCAATTTATGTGGGGTGGAAGTATACTTGTTGGTAGGCGGAACAATTTATCTTTTTTAATTCAATTGATGGTTTGTGTTTGCTCACAATGATAAAACATTAATAATTTTCTTCATCGACCCGTACTATCAAATTCAACCAAAATTCACGATACAAACATTAGACGTAGCTGAAAGTATCACTCTTCGGAAACTAGCTGAACTTTACCACCCAGACAAGCATCTTTACAATTTCTTAAATATCGTCAAATACTCTTTGCTTAATATTTTTTGCTTTTTTCAAATCAATATAACGGCAGGGAGACGACGAAGAGAAATGAAACATCGGAGCATGTAGGATTCGATCATAAATGACTGGTAAAATCGTTTAATCCAGATCTGGGCCGAGATGTAAAAAAGATCTCGGCCCACTCTCTCCTTTGTGTTTCTCTTTGAACTAAGGCCATTCCTATATGAATCTTGGAAATTTCATGTCGCTGGTCCCCAGTAAGTCTAAATATTTCGGACCCACTTTTAAGACCTAAAGGGGGTCACAAAATTGTTCAATTCTCCTTCGGGGAACGCAAGTCATTCGAGCACAGTTTTATAAGTCAATTTCTTACCACGCATAAACTCCTTCGCTGAAAATTCGTTGTCCGCGTGCACTTTATAGCTTACTCTTTCGCCAGCTATGAACGCAGAAATGGTCGGAGGGAAATGTTCTTATGCTCAGTTCTGTTCCTATCATCATTCATTTGTCCTCAGCTGTGACATTTAATTGACAGAAGTGACTAGAAGCAAAAAATAGTGATTGATTAACAAGAATAGGAGAAAAGTCCCACTCAAGTCAACTGCGGCTGCAGAGTGAATTGTTAGACGGTAGGTGAAGAATTTGAAAAAATTTTCAGCAGCTGATATTTCTATTAAAATGGCATAATGATTCGATTATCCTTGTTGGTGAGGTTCCCAGTATACTGATATATTGATATTTATGCAAAATATCGGTCATTGAAGTGATAGTTACAATAAAAATTGAGTTGATCCTATGTTCGCCCTGCAAATGGCTCACAACTGTCAATGAACCGGAACTATGAAAAATTCAATTAAATCGAGAAATAGCATAATTGGGACACAAAGATGCGATTTCACTCATGTTTCAATTAATTTCCCCCATAATCTATGAGTTAAAAAGTCCCCGCGGAAATTTGGTGACCTAACCTGGAAAACAGCAATGTCGGGCGGTAAAAATGCAATTTAGATTTATGTTGCAGATTACAGAGATGGTGAGGCCAATATCTAGTTCTAAACGATGGAATTATACGCAGGAAGATTTGCTTAAAGCAGTGGCAGCGGTGAGGGAGGGAAATAAAATGATGGACGCATTAAATGCTGACATTCAATACAAAATCTCAGTGAATTCCCTAAGGAACAAGTGTAAGCTCCCCGGCATACCTATCCTAAAGAACGGAGGACCACCCAAGATTTTAACTAGGAATGAAGAAAATCAAGTGGTTTCCTGGATATTGCAAATGCACAAGCTTGGGTTTCCAGTGACTAAAGAAATTCTTATGAACTACGTAGCGGCCCTTGTGAAGGAATTGAAGAGAGAGAATCCGTTCACAGATGGAAAACCTGGGCGGAGTTGGTACAACGGATTCATGCGTCGCCATCCTCAACTGACCTTACGTGTCTCCCAAAACCTGACTATGTCTAGAGTGATTGTCACAGAAATAGCACTCCGTGATTGGTTCCAGGAGGTGCCAGAGCACTTGATTGAGCAAAATTTGATGGATATCGATGCAAGTCGTGTTTTTAATTGTGACGAGTCAGCGTTTTTTCTCTGCCCGAAAGGTGGGAAAGTATTGGTGAAGAGAGCAGAAAAGGCGGTCTGCAATTTTGTATATGAGGATGAAAAAGGATGCCTCACCACCCTTTTCATGATCAACGCTACTGGTACATTGGGACCACCTGGAATAATATTCACTTATGAAAGAATCCCTGTGATTATTACTAACAGTGTCAATCCTACTTGGGGAGTTGGAAAAACTGAAAGTGGGTGGATGACCGGGGAGAGCTTTTACGAATATATCGCAAATGTATTCTTCCCATGGCTGTAAGAGAATAATATTAAATTCCCAGTGGTCCTGTTCGTTGATGGACACTCTTCTCACATGACATTACCAACGAGTCAGTTCTGCAGTGAAAAAGGGATTGTACTGATTGCACTCCATCCCAATGCAACCCATTGGATTCAGCCATTGGATGTAGCATTTTTCCGCCCTCTCAAAGGAGCGTGGCGCCAAAAAATTGTTCAGTGGAGAATGGATAATGATGGAAGACGCTTAAAGAAGGAGAATTTCGCTCCTCCTCTTGAAAAAATCATCCAAACCTTGAATATACCCGAGATTGCCAAGAATGGATTCCGCACGTGTGGTTTGTATCCTTTCTCACCCGATGGATTCAATTATGACAAATTGAAAACGAAAAAGGACGACACTGACGCACTACACCCGGAACATACAGCTCCATTACAAGGATCCACAGTTCTGGCAGGATTCAAGAGAATTGGGTGTCGCGGACAGGGGAAAGGAGATCTAGCAAATAAAAATCTCTTCTTGTTGTGGGCTGATATCAGTAAACGTACTTTATTCTTTTCAATTTTTCACTCATCAAAGTCTCTGATATCCACCATCTCCAATACTTCCATTCATGTTTTCCCCTCAGACCTATTTGGTCATCCTTCCGCGGAAGAGAGTACAAACTCGCCGCCCAATGACTAGCAGAACCAACCAAACAATGATAACGAAGCGGTTCCGGTTTCAAGAACTTCAGATATTACTGTGGCGCACGTGGAAATGACTGACGAATCCGAAGCAACAATTCCGAACGATTTCCCAGGGGACAATTCGTTTGAATCTGTTGACGATCTTGATATACAGACTATTCCATTCGTTTACAGTGACGATGATAGAATATTTGATGCCTCTAACGTTGGGACCATTGGTATTTCAATTCTCATGACTGGCATCTTCACAATCTTCACCATTCATCGATACTAAAGATTTTTGAATTTTTGTACTTTGTAGTTGGTGAATTTGAAGTTCAAAGTGTGAGAAATGACTCCAATGTTAAGCCTGTCGTTTCGCTTGATGATCCTCTTGATGGAAACGTCCTTACTTCAATGGCTAGAAGTAGAGAGTCAACCCCCTCAGAGCCTATCTGCCAGTCGTCTATAACCCTGATTTCTAACCCGGAAAATAAAACTCGTCTTGTCGCTTAGAACATTCAGAACTATTCAGGTGAAAATCTAATACCAAACCGCTATCAAAGTTCAACTTTTCTGGCCCAAACATTGCCTGTATCATCACCACCACTGCCGCAAAGTTTTTCGACTGTCTCCGATTCCAATCCTGCCAAACCCCAACCTCTAACATCATGGCTTAGTACCACCATGAGCTTACTGAATCCTCCCAAACTCGCATCTCAGTCTCCATCTGTTAAGGCGACTGTCATCCGTCTGAATATTTCTCTGGCTCCACCTAAACCATCACAGGCTCCTATTAGTATGTCTCCTCCGAATGGTCCCAAGCTTCAGTCTCTGGTTCCACAACGTCGTCCCCCTGTCACTCTTACTCGAGCTCCTTCAGCATCTCCAGAGACTTGTGCCTCTCCTCTGAATTTCCTCCCATCGTCAAAAATGTCTAGTACTGCTCCCGCTGTTGAGTGCTGGCGTGGAAAACCATGCTCCAAAAAAACACAGAAAAAAGTCAAAAAAGAAAAAACTCCATCAGTGATTACTTTACTTGCCTGGCAAAACGATCGAATCCCTAAAGGACAGGAAAAGATCCGTGAACGTGAAGAGATTGAACAGAGGAAAATTCTAAGAAAGGAAGCAATTACGCAAAAAAGACGGAAGATTCAAGAGAGGAGGAGAGAACGGCTGCAGGCTGCTGAAGAAAAAAAGAGGAACAAAGAAGAAGAGAGAAGGAAGAAAGAGGAGAAGCGCCTCTTGAAAGTACAGGAACGACTTGAGAAGAAAGCTCTTCTAGCCCAGAACATTAGGAAGAGGAAACAAGTAGAACATGTGGAGGAAGAATCAAAGAAAAATCCTCTAAAAAAATTAAAACTAAGTTGGATATGAACCCAGAAATTGGTCTGAAAATGGAGACAGAAATTCCTATAGAACCTTAGTTTTATGTATTGCTTAAAAAAATGTGTTATGTTGTTTGCTATAGTTCAAATAAAGATTATTTAGATAGTAAAATTTGCTCTGATATATTCCCTGGTAAACATGCTTGAAGTGTGAGTGCATTGTCTTAGAATAGAATAGAATAAAATAGTGCGGCTGGTCACTTAAAGCGCCCAGAGTCACCTAAATCATACGATCTTTTGTAACTTCCGCCTTAGTTTCGGTCAGTCACACAGCCCCAGCCCTGTGTTTCTCACTAGGCTAATAAGGCTGGTGACAGCCGCTTGTTGTAAGTCCTCTGGTTTCAGGAAAGCCTGGCCCCAGATTTTATAGCGACGGAGTGCTAATAGGGGGCATTCACATAAAATGTGGATGACGCCCTCCTTATCGCCTCCGCACAGTCTGCAGTCTTCTTGTTCTGCAAGTTTCATCTTGAACAGATGAGCTCTGAGAGCTGTATGACCCGTAAGGAGCCCTACTGCTACCCTCAGATCCCCTCTGTGCAACTCCAGAAGCTTTCTGGTCCTAACTCTTAGTTGCCCTCTCATAAGCAGTTTCGCTTGTCTGCAGGTCGCAACTTTCTCCCAACGCCTGACATGATCCCGCTGGAAATGATCTTTAATAAGAGTTTTTCCCACTGCGAAGGGCATGCCAAGCAGGCCGTGTGAGGGCACACTTTCTGTACCCTCCTTGGCCAGCCTATCTGCCTCTTCATTACCCAGAATCCCATGGTGACCTGGCACCCAGGTTACGGTGACCCGGTTGTTTTTACCCAGTGTGTCCAATGCCTGCATGCATTCCCACACCACCTGTGACTCTGTAGTGGGTTTTTCCAGGGCGTGTATCGCCGCCTGGCTGTCACTGCA